CCTGAGTAGCTGGAATTACAGGCACGCGCCACCATGCCCAGCTAATTTTTTGTAGTTTTAGTAGAGACGGGGTTTCACCATGTTGACCAGGATGGTCTCAATCTCTTGACCTCGTGATCCACCCGCCTTGGCCTCCCAAAGTGCTGGGATTACAGGCGTGAGCCACCGCGCCTGGCCTACTTGAGCTTTAATGTTGTCTTTCATCTGAGAAGCCTAGAGTATTTGACAAACATTTAATCATTGATCTTCATATCAACTTCCCAGCGGGAGGGATGTTAGAAGAAAGGAACAATGTTAGAACCATGTTAGAAGAAAGGGCAGGTATGCAGCATGTATTCTTGAAACAGGATGGCAAAGAATTGGTTAAATCTTTTCTGCAGGATTGCGTGCAGGCCTGGAGGTCATATGAAGGTATCCGACCCCTTTGGGGAATCAAGGAGAGAGAGCCCAGGAAAATTCAGGCCTGACTGGGATTTTTGCAATAGGAGGAGAGAGGAAATGCATCTTGCCCAGACCAGTGTTGCCTTTGCCATATGTTATATGCCTGGTGATTATGAAGATAAATAATCTTATAATTATTTATAATTCTGAATTAAAGGGTATGATGCAATGCTTGTGGATGAAGGGCATAGAGTAGCTGTGTAAGAGGGAATCGTGGCTAAGTGCCTTTCTGTGTGATGGGGTAGCTCTGACTCAGTTAGGTTATAAACCACATATTAACGTTGTTTTAGTTTCCTTTCCTTTTTCCTGTTGGTTCTGTATTTCTTGACTTTTCTTTCCCTGTCAAGCTTTTGTTTGATTTTCTTCAGGGTCCTTGCTATTGGAAAAAACATTTCATAGCCATTCTTAGATCAGCCTTACATGTAAAATCTGATACGTGGTTGATTTAGCTTAGTTTCCTTAGGGGCTAAATTAGGACCAGGTCAAGAGTTTCACCCTGAGCCTGGTCAATTAGTTTGACCCAGAGGACTACAGCATATCCAGAGAGCCGTAACCTTAGCTGGCCATCCCATAAATGCTTTATGTTGGTCAGTGGGGAGGATTCTGGTGAGAAAATGAGAAAGGAATCCTTTGGTGATGTAGCTTCATCTCTAAGTAGTAAAATATCCTCTTCATATCTAGATTGCTTGAGATTTTAGTGCCGAACTGTATTCCTAAGTTAGGAAGCCTTACCATGCGGGCCACTGACTTGATCTGCCTTGCCTTACAAGTTTTGCACTCACAGGGAAAAATTACGGTTGAAAATTAGCCTAAGGGCCGGGCGCGGTGGCCCAAGCTTGTAATCCCAGCACTGTGGGAGGCCGAGGCGGGTG